TGAGAGACTTTTGCAATAGGGCAAGTGCACTTGCCAGAGAGACAGAGAGAGAAAGTGAGAAATCACCCCCTAGGGGGATGGCCATGCCGCAATCCCTTCTCCTCCATTCTCCCCTCGGGATCTTGGGAATGTACGCACATGTGCCCAGCATGAGTTTCAAGCTGGGTCCAGGACACGAACTACAGTCAACTATGTGGGAGTCCAATGATGTAACCATCATGCCATCTGCTGGTCCTCCAAGATGAAATCAAATTCTTGAATCTGAATTGCTAAGGGCTACGTCCAAAAGAATGAAAATTCTATCACAGACATGCGACTTGTCCTATTTCTATTCTTTTTTTAAAAAAATTACTTTGGGACCAGCAGTTAGCGTAATGGCTATGTCGCTGGATTCCCATGTAGTCGACCGTAGTTCAAGTCCTGGACCCGGCGGCATGCCGGGCGCATATGCGTATGTGCCCAAGATCCCAAGAGGAGAATGGAGGAGAAGCGATTGTGGCGTGGCCATCCCACCCGGGGGGGTGATTTCTCGCTTTCTATCTCTCTGTCTCTCTCTGTCTTTCTGGCGAGCACACGCACCTTCTAGCGAAAACCTCTCAAAAAATAAAAAATTACTTTAACTTTATTTACTTATATAAATTTGACCAGAGGGGGACAGAGTGTGAGAGAGAAAGTGAGAAAGCAAGCTGCCAGGTCCAGGAGTCAAACCACAATTGGCCATATGGGAGTCCAGTGCCCTTAACCACAATGCTGCCTGCCAGCCCCAGCCTGGTCCTATTTTTTTTTTTAAAGAATTATTTTATTTAACTTTATTTATTATCACTATTATTTTCCAGTTTGATCAGAGAGAGACAGAGAGAGAGAGAGGAAGTGAGAAAGCAAGCCACCAGGTCCGAGACTTGAACCATGGTCAGCCATGTGGGAGTGTCCAGCACCTTAACAACCATGCTACCTACCGGTCCCTTTATTTTAACTTGACCAGAGAGGGACAGAGTGAGAGAGAGAGAAAAAGCAAGAAAGCACGCCACCAAGTCCAGGACTTGAAGTGCGGTTGGCCATATGGGAGTCCAGTGCCCTTAACAACCATTCCACCTGCTGGCCCATGTTTTCCTACTTTTAAAACGTAGATTACAAAAGTGATTATTTGACTCATTTAAAATTCTTGGCAGTTGGAAAAAGTTGCACATATGAATATTTGGCCATGTGGGAGTCCAGTGCCTTTAACCACCATGCCACTTGCCGGCCCCGAGCCTGGTCCTATTTTTAATAGCCAGCTGGCTCCACCCTTCTTAGTAACAACCAAGGACATAATTATTTTAGAATAATATGCATATATATAATTGGCCACTATATTTTTATTTGAACTAAAGACTTACAAATAAGTGCTGAGGAACACTACATATTATAAAACACACCACAGGAATGCAGGGTCAAAACATTATTCTTAGTTGCTAGAAATTAAAAAAAAGTTATTTAAGATCTTTGTGAAGGTTTTTCTTTAATGACAATATACAAAAAGGTCTTTATCGGGACCAGCAGTTGGCGTAATGGCTATGTTGCTGAACTCCCATGTAGTCGACCACGGTTTGAGTCCCAGACCTGGTGACTTAAACTCACACCAGGCGCATGTGCATGCATGCCCAAGATCCTGAAAGGAGAATGGAGAAGGGATTGTGGTGTGGACATCTTCACTGGAGGGTGACTTCTTGCTTTCTGTCTCTCTGGCAAGCGCACACACCCTATAGCAAAAACTTCTCCAAAAAAAAAAAAAAAA